ATTGGTGATATCTCTTTTACAAGTCTACAGGCGTCAACAAAAACTGGAGGGGATAGGAATATTTGCCATAGGTTTTGAAGTCTTTCAGGTAAAGGTAAAAATAAGTTACACACACACACACACAAATATATATATATATATATATATATATATATATATATATATATATATATATATATATATATATATTTATATATATATATATATATATATATATATATATATATATATATATAAATATAAAGATATATATATATATAAATATATATATATATATTTATATATATATATATATATATATATTGTGCTGGTATATGTTATCAAATTGCTTGTGTGTAAGTTTTAAATTTCTATTATATCATTTTTGTTTCATTATATTTTATTGCAATGATTATATTGTCAGATTCGATATCGTTTTTCAGTAATGAGATATTTTCTTTTAATAAATTTTGTTTATTTACGACGAAGATTTATTTTTTAGATTTTCTTGGGCTGGAAGCTGTCAACATGAAGTTAAAATGATTGGTCATTATCAGGGACATGCTTTCAGTATGTGCAAACAACGTTTTTATGATTGGTTATTAAGTTGGGACAAATTGGCATACGTGCTAAAATGTTTGTAGTAAGAGAACACATGACCAATCTTGCGAGACATCAAAAGAGGTTTCGGTGTTTTATATATGCAATTTTAATTACTTTTGGGCAGTCATTCAACACCATGAAGGAACAAGGGGTATTTTTATTTATTGACAGGATTGTTTGTTCGTCAACCGATTTTCAGATTTAGTTATTTATTATATGGAGTCTCAACAAGTTGACTTTATTTTATAAAAAGATTCTGAAAAATATTCATGAAAATTTATTCTGGAATTATTCGGAAATAAAGACAGTGATCAAGTGAGGAATTGTAGATTTTCGTATATTAGACCACATCTGACGTCATCTCCTTTTATATCTGTAAGTCGTCGGGAATCAAACCTGGATTCTAGTAGAACTATTTATTGACATCACTTGTGTTTTCCTTCTTAGGATCAAATTTTGGATTGTATTTACAAACTGTAAGTCCTATTTACCAATTTTTACATTGTTGTCTAGGGAAATAAATTGCTATGTTAAAATATACTACGCTTGTTGGCTTTCAATCTTTCCTTTGTTACTGAGTACAAGCCATTGTCACGTAACAATATATATATATATATATATATATATATATATATACATATATATATATATATATATATATATATATATATATATATATATATATATATATATATCCAATTTAATGGATAATTTCAGTTGATCTGCCGACCTTCCGGAAAAATAGCAAAGCCATTCTTTGATCAAATCGATCCGCTAATGCCCGAAAACGAGGAGACATATGCGGAGTATAGAGAGACCTCCGGGCGTTTTTTCTTAGACCCCGGAGAATATCTGTTATTGCCAACGACACAGAAATCAAATCAGGAGCGCTCGTACCTGCTCCGTCTTTTTTCTATCAGCAAAATGGAATGCAGGTATAGTTTATACATAGTGAATTTTATGTTTCCTCCTGATAATCAAACGTCATCTAGGACAACTGATTAATAAAAACACGACCGTGAATGCGTAAAGTGTTTGCTTAAATCTATATTGTAATATCAATAACATGCAGTACTGCTTCCGTCTTGTTGTTTATTTTAAAAGTTGTATTTTATAATAAACTGCATGGAGTAGGCCTAAGGAATTTAAAAATGGTTTGATTGGGAAATGATCTTATGACATGGCGACATAAACCACTGTTCCTTTTAATGGTTCCTACAATATTTGATTGAAAATTGTCTCAGACGTATTGACAAAGGGTCATCTTTACAGGTACGTAATTAAATGGCACTGAGATTTTATTTTCCTTCAATAATACATACATACATACATACATACATACATACATACATACATACATACATACATACATACATACATACATACATACATACATACATACATACATACATACATGCATACATGCATACATGCATACATGCATACATACATACATACATACAATCATACATATCTATACATACAATCATACCTACCTACCTACCTACCTACCTACCTACCTACCTACCTACCTACATACATACATACATACATACATACATACATACATACATACATACATACATACATACATACATACATACATACATACATACATACATACATACATACATACATACATACAATCATACATATCTATACATACATACATACATACATACATACATACATACATACATACATACATACATACATACCTACCTACCTACCTACCTACCTACCTACCTACCTACCTACCTACCTACCTACCTACCTACCTACATACATACATACATACATACATACATACATACATACATACATACATACATACATACATACATACATAATTACGTATCTGATATCCATTTATTCTTTGGCAGGGAGCTTGACAACTGTATCGACAACTGGGATGAATCAAACTAACCTCAGCTTTGCAGAAAAATGCTAGGTGTCTGGACTGGTACAATGTCATTGATCCGGGAAAGGAGCGGAACATAACGATTTCTCTAACAGTGCATTCGACGCGACAGCCAATGTCTATTAACAGGTCATCTGCTGACGTACATATAGGACAACATGGGCACTATAACAACTTGTCTGCTTCTAATATTTATGATGAGCTAACCGACAGGTCCTGAAATAGACATGCTGTGTTCTGACAGGATATCCATGGATTTATGTAAAACTTGAATGTATCTATATCGCACGATCCTTCCAATAGTTGTGTTGTTTTCTTGTGCATTACATAAGATCCACAGCTTTGGTCTGGGGGCGGACTGATATCAATAAGAGGGTAATGCAAGAAAGGGAATCTTTAGTTTAAGAACATGATTTCTAGTTTCTTCCCTTTGTAAATCATCTAATCACCGTGAGCTTATCTGTACAAACTAAAATTTGTCCAATAAGTGAAAAGGACCATCCGCATATGGAAAGAGGTTTAACAGAGAGGGAGAAGATTTCGCTCCTCCGTGAAAATATTAATTCTACTGATGAAGCGATAATACGTTATTAAATTAATGTAGTCATATTGACCTTCTTATAGGTTCAAGGTTGGCCATATTGACCAGATCTGGTTGTATTGGTCTGAGGCAGTGCTTTTATGGTCACCCAAGAAAATGATTGGGGAAAGGTTATTTTTGTAAAGTATGTGTGTGTAGGCATCATAATGTCTACGCTTATAAATCCCCATATCTGAGTTACAATATCAGGGTTTGAAAATAGTAACAGGATATGCTATAATGCAACATCACATGGAAAAAGGCAAGAACTAAGGGAACACGTTCAAATGGAACAGGACATGATCTGAGGCAGAATCAGCATACAAAACAGGGTATGCTTTAAACGAACACCATAAAATGGAACGAACAAGATATTAAACAGAGCAACATCAAATACAAAGACGTCCATTAATCAAACGCATTTGTGAACGTATTGCAATGTTTCATTGCGTAGACTCTAGCTATTGTTCTCAGTCCTGAAATGCAAAAATCAACTGCATGTGCATGAACTAAATAAGAGTTATGCTTTGAATATGGGGGCTTGTACAAAGTCTTTTCTACTCTCCGTTTTATACACAGTCCATTAGGACCTGTAATAAGACCTGCGAAGAGGATGAGTTTAACAGTCTATAATAAAAAAGACAGTAATTTACTACAAGGGTTACATGCACATTTTGACAATCTGACCATTATGCATCCATGACATTCTATTTTTTGAATTTCTCAGTTTATTCACCAATAAAGGTGAAGAACTTCATCAGAAATCATTCTCAGTGCAGCAAAGACATTTTGTGTTAAGGATTCATATATAGTCCATCAACAGATTTTTAAAATGAAAATATCGTTTCATTAAAACTTTCTTATTAGCAATATTTAAAAATGCATGGATGTAAGTTTTAAAGTAACGTATTGGATAATGGGTGTATTTAATATTTATCTCTCGTGAAAACTGCTGAAAGTATCCTTTGTCAAGTGGCACCCTGTCATGAAATATATTATATGTGAGATTGTGTGTTTTGTGTGTGCATGTGTGTGTGTGTGCGTGTGTGATTTGGATTACTAACATAGCTTGAACAATATTTCATATGCTACGATGTTTTCAGTGTGAAAGTTTATAGTAATGTCTTGCATTGAGGCATCATGCAGCATGATGTTCGACCCAGTCACATGATCCTGACACCAGGCCAATCAATCCTAATACTAATCTTTATAGTATCACTACGTTAAAAAATCCAAAACTCTTAATGCTGAGCAACTAGTGAAGCAACTGTTAGCACCATTTTTTTCAAGTCTTTGGTATTACTCGGTCGTGGTTCAAACTCACGACCTACCGAATCTAGAACCGATGCTAGGCTACTGGATGGTCTTGTATATGATTTGGGCACTTCTGAATTTGTCATGATAAAGGTGTTTACAAATTCACATGGTCAAGAACAAAGTTATTAACGAATTTAAAGTTTATCACATATTAGGTAGTTTTCCTATAAAATGAGCAGTTTAATATTTATGATATCACAACATTTATATATCACTTTATAAAAATCTGATTGGTCCAAATACATCCTTGAAATTATTGTGCAGTATTCATTTTACTGGTTGGCACCTATTGTAGAAAATCTTGTAATGAAATTTGTTTATGTCTTCTGTAGTCTACTGTACCACTTCGAATACTGCACTTACCCGATCACAAATACATCACAGTAAATATGAAATTTCTGCATCCAGTAATCCTCCTTTCATAGGAATATCTCAAAGTTCTAATGTTTAGTTTTGAAAGTGACATTAAGGTAAACTCGGATTGTCTTTGTACTCTATTTGATACTGCATCATGCAATGTGACATAACTCGCTTTGGACATTCTGTGTTGAAAAATGATTATGCCTTGGTAAAATGTTCTGCTTATTTGGAAGAACGCTTGCTCCGGTGTCTTAGTGGTTAGAGTGTTCACCTCGGAAACGGGAGGTCGTGGGTTCGAGCCCCGGCTGAGTCATACTAAAGACTTGCAAAAATGGTACTAACAGCTGCCTCGCTTGGCGCTCACCATTAAGAGGTTAGTGTTAGGACTGGTCGGCTTGCTCTCAGGATAATGTGACTATGTGGGACATCATGGTACATGTCTGCGGCATGATGCCCTAGTGCTAGACATCACTATAAACTGCCACACTGCAGACATCGTAGCGATATGATTGAAAAATTGTCAAAAGCTAAGGTAAAAATCTAAATCACACACAAATCAGATCAATGTTCTTTGATTTATGGTTTGCAAAAAAGTATAATCTACTTTTGAACGATAGGACTAGTATTTATTCGTTCTTCTTTATATCTAAATCATTTCCACTGAAATAAAAACTGGGGAAAAAGACTAAAATAGAAAATGAATTATTATTGAATGTATGAAACTCATTGAATAATGTCCAATGCTTGCAAAAGCTAAACATTATTCAACTTGTTTAATAAATTCTATATTAAATCATTATCCATTACAGCTCTTCCATTTAAGCAATACCATGATAATCATTTGTTCAGATTTTCTAATCAATAAGTAATCTCACTTGTTCTAATGCGTTTAGTTGCCTTGTGCTGCCTTTGAAAAATTGTTGTTAACTTTTCTATGACCCTGGTCGATAGTATTAAGAGATTTGCAATTGCACTTTAAAACCACATTAGCACGAGATACATCAAAGAGCATATTTTCTGACTTTCGCAGATTTATATTTCTAATTTAAGCCAACATTTAATTCCATAAAACAAGCATTAAATCTCGAAACTTCCGGCAATAGTGTGCAGTTTTGTTATTTCTATTGTTCAGGAAATTTAATTACTAGTTCAAGCTCCAGAAAATGCAGAAGAGCCAGACTAGTAAGATCGATTTAGGTCTTAATTTAATATAGTCACTTGTAATATACTTACGCCATATTTATTTCTGAAGTTTTGTCAAAGATAAAAATAGAAAGGCCGTGATTTAGTTGTACGCAAGAACTAATTTTAGTTTTAGTTTACACAATATCATCTTAAAGCTGGAGTATTTTACAGCTGGTTGCAAAGACATTCAATAAATAATGCAATTGGCTGACAACGAGCAGTGCAAAACTAGTATCTAACTCGCCTGATTTCTTTCGATTCTGTATGAGTCTTTTTCAAAGGTTATTACCAAAGATAGATAAATACTAACAAATAAAACACAAAAAACTATTTAGTTTGCATAACTTTACATGACTATTTCTACAGGAATAAAGAAATTAAATTTATTATTTTTCAACTGGTTTATTTCATCTTGTTGCATATACTGGAAAATATTTGTATTAACCTAAAAATCGATGAGCTATAACGACATCTGTTGTTTTATGTAAATGTATATAGGCGGAAAGTATACTCCGAAATATTACATTGTTATAGTAGTAAATATAGGCTATTAAACACATCATTTAGAGAACCACACAAAAGAAAACGTTTCGGCTGCAAAAGATAGCTTTATTTGTGCATCTCTGTCTTTTTCTAGTCTTTTTGATTTAAAAAGCTTTGTGTCAATGTTCTAAGGAGGCATATTCGGTACGATCTCTTATCTTTCCTGTTATCGGAACTCCGTTTGGGGTTGTGAGCAATTGCATTAAGTCTTATATCACTGAAAGTGGTCAGGGAAAATAATCTGTATAGCATCTTTGTCATCCAATCAAATCTATCAAAGTTGCCCTTTGTGAGTAGATTTTCAGTTTCTTCGACATACTAAAGGAAACAGATCTTACGTGAGATGAGATAAATTACTCTCTCTCTCTCTCTCTCTCTCTCTCTCTCTCTCTCTCTCTCTCTCTCTCTCTCTCTCTCTCTCTCTCTCTCTCTGTTGTGCACCTTTTGTTTGCACCATGTATGTTTAGTTTTTCTCTAGCTGCTGTACTAGAATATGTCATGGTCTTCATTATATGTTGATAGATTTTGCATTTTTTTGATCGTCACAGGAGCCAGATTCACTATAATGTTCTTGATTAGTGGTTGGCGTTGACTTCGCCATGACTAAGATGTCCTTGATGTTTTTGGAGGTTTTTTGTCGTTTTTTTGTTTTGTTCTTTTTTTGGGTCTCCGGTACTGGATACGTGGCCTTAGAACATTGAAGCCAAGTGTTTTATATACGAAATAGAAAAAGACAATTATACACAAATTAAATTAAAATTTGCTGCCGGCACATTTTCTTTTATGTGGTTCTCTAAATTTGCTTAATAGCCAATATTTACTACTATGATATTGAAATATCTGGGATATATTTTGCACTTACATACATTTACATAAAACAATAGATGTCGTTATCTCTCATCTATTTCTAGGTCAATACAAATAGTGTCCGTTACCCGCGGTAATATGAACTAAATTAGTTGAAATACAACAAATTGAAAGGTTTTATTTCTATAGAAACAGCCAAGTAAAGTTTTGCAAACACAACGGTTTTGTGCTTCATTTTTTGTCTGTTTTGCATTTACTTTTGAAAAAGATTCATTAAGAGACAGAAGCGCTTAGGATAGATAGATACTAATTTTGCAGTTTCTCGTCAGTTTATTCAGTTTATTGCATTTATCTTAATCAATCCCTGACACACGTGAGCCCTTGCTGGATCCAGTGTAATTGAAAGGATTGTCACTCGCCATATTCATTTGCATTTTGTATGTATGTATGTATGTATGTATGTATGTATGTATGTATGTATGTATGTATGTATGTATGTATGTATGTATGTATGTATGTGTGTGTGTGTGTGTGTGTGTGTGTGTGTGTGTGTGTGTATGTATGTATGTATGTATGTATGTATGTATGTATGTATGTATGTATGTATGTATGTATGTATGTATGTATGTATGTATGTATAAATATATATATATATATATATATATATATATATATATATATATATATATTTAAATATATATATATATATATATATATATATATATATTTATTTATTTATTTATTTATTTATTTGGATTATATTATCTATTCCTTAGAATGCAAATGAATAAAATCTAAGTAAAGAAGATGGAAAAGGTTATATGTTGTGTCAGGTATCTAAAGCTCTGCAGAGGCAGGAATATTTGCGTGTTATTGTCTGCATTTGCATTATAATAGTAGGTTTTATATTTTCGTTAATGATTCAGGTTAAAGACCCACCCGCTCCTCGACTTTGTCTTCTCTTCACTCGTGCATGCCCACCCGTCAAAGTTACAAACAAGAACCCCATGCCAAAGAAGAGTAGGCCTACTATGATTTTAAAGACTTCAACGTTGATTAGTAACCCGCAAAATCGCTGTTATCATACTACTCAATCCTCTGAGATTGTCCATTGATGTGACAAATACAAGTACAATGTACAGGTACAGTCACGAGTACAATACACAATTATAAGTACAACTCACACGTACATATACAACCACTGTCGATGTCCACGATTGTAATAGAAGTCTTTGAGAGTGTCTGTTGACATGACAATTAACATATATATGTGTACGAAGCGGATGCAACGTAGGAACGAGGCGAGTACTGCGCAGGTGCACTGCAGATATTGAAGTAAATCCACCGACAACTGGCATGATTTGAATCATCAATCGTGTGGTAGGCAAACCGATCACTATTATTTTAATTGTATTACAGACCGACTGGTTCGTTGTTCTATTATTGTTGTCATCGTTGTTGCGCAACAGGCTGATCATTCAGCTACAATATGTGTTCGTACTTCCAAACAAACAAATTAACATCTATGAAGTTGTAGTCGACGCTGTACAAGTCCAATGTTTTAATTCGGGATGGCGCCAGTGACTGGAATCGATGTATGTGATACTTGCACGATTTCGAGTTCACTCACGGTTTATGATCTGCAATATCACTAGTTGGTGATGCGATATACCCTCACAGGTACACTTACATCCCACGTTTGATTGGGTGTAACTTGGAATTTTGCCATTTTTTATACATTATTGCTTTCGTCTATTACTTTTCGCGTGACAACGTAATCCGCTCACCATTACCATATTTGCATTGATCAAGCTAGCTATACATTGTTGATGGTTTTCATAACCTAAGCTGGCATTGTTGTTCTTGATGGAAGTATAATCGCCGATTTTTCAACTGTTGGTGGTTGGTTCTCAATCTCAAATGGATTGAACCTCCTTCGTTCCCAAATTTATTTAACCGATTTGGAGCAATGTGTTGATGCTACCAAAGCAGCATGCATTGCAGCTAGTTTGGCGATCAGAGCTGCGCATGAAGTCAAAGACACGAGCAGTTTGGTGCACTTCTAAACAATCCTTTGACAACATTACCAAGGACATTTCCGTAGCACGCTATTAAAACGTGTTTTCTCTAACTGACAAAACGCACAGGATTCACACGTCCACATATGACTATTAGGTTCAATATGTGCCCATCCTGGTCCTCTAGGATAAACTGGATATTTGCCAACATACAATTATGACATGGAAGAGACACGGACGCGTCATGAGTAATCGACATCAGATTGGGTGAAGTTGGCATCATTCATGGCAAAACCAGATATATCATGACACTTGCGTTGTCCATGCTGGGTTTCATAGATCCTACTGATGGTGTCACAGGTCAGATTAACCCGAATCGTGGTGGTAATTCTATTAATGTCTGACACTATATTGTATCTTGTACAGTCTAGTCCTGCACGCATAATTTGTTTGTCATCTTGAATCTTATTAATGACTTCAGGCTAAACAAAAACAGATCTCCACGATGACTGCACAATATGAACCATGTACGTTGAAGATTCGAATGCTATGGCAACGCTGATTGTGTGAATGATTTTTTTTAATTGCGCTTGATCACCAATCACATCCTCCGCCCGATCTCTTCATTCTAAGTTGGATCTCTTCATTCATCGATAGAAGCTTGTTGAAAGTTCAGAAATGCTCCAGATATATTCCTGACCACTTTTTGACAAAACATGAACGAAGTATCCGCGTGGAAAACCACCGATGGCTGTGACCG